TGGTATTGTACTTGCTTAAGACACAAGTCTTGTCTTCTTCCCCAAACTGTCTGTAAGCCAAAACTATCAGCTATATAAGCTGGAAACCAATGAATCAAATGCCAAGCTCTTTTTCTTCAACCCTAAAAGGTTGTCATGGTATCAGAGCCTCAACCCTAGCCGCCACCTTCATCCACCATGGCTGATAATCAAACCCAAACAATCAACTCACCAGATCCATCTTCCTCCACCCCTCCAAATGTTGACCCCATGTCTGACCCCTTCTACCTCCATGGATCTGAACAACCTGGCACCCAGCTCGTTGCAGAGAAGCTCACTCCCACAAACTACATAGATTGGAGCAAAGCTTTTCACAACGCCCTTGGAGCCAAGAACAAGCTTGGTTTTGTGGATGGTTCCATCCCAGACCCAGGGCCAGGTCATGCTATTTCCTGGGCATGGACCAGGAACAACATCATGGTCATCTCATGGATCCAACAGGCAGTGGATCCTGGCATTCGCAAGACGATAATGTCATCCAAGACAGCCCTTGAAGCCTGGAGAAGCCTGCGTGACAGGTATGGCCAAGGAGATATGGTTCGGATTGCAGAGCTGATTGAATCCATCTGTACTCTCAAGCAAGGTAACCTCTCTGTCACTGAATACTATGGCAATCTCATAGCCTTAAGAGACGAACTGGACAACTATCAACCCCTTGAGCCTTGTGCCTGTTCAACCACTAGCCACAACACTTGTCGAGCTATGTTACTGGTCCTAGGCTACAGAGACACAAACTATGTCATCCAGTTCTTGAGAGGTCTCAATGACAACTTCTCAACTGTGAGGTCACAGGTTCTATTTGGTGATGCTTTACCACCAATAGATCGGGTTTTCCAACGTATGCTTCAACATGAGAGGCAACTCAGTGGTTCTTCCTCAAGCAAAACCCTCACCACAGAAGGCATGGCCTTTGCTGCACATGGTAACCCCAACTATCTTGGCAAGAATCCCAGACCCTATTGCACCTTCTGCAAATTCACAGGCCACACAGAAGACACCTGCTACCACAAACATGGATGGCCACCAGGCATGACAAACCCCAAAACCTCAACCTCAACAAACAAAACTCTCGAATGCTCCTACTGCAAGAAGCAAGGGCACACTGAGGATAAATGCTTTCAAAAGCATGGTTATCCATCCAGGCCAAACTCCAAAAGCAGAGTCTCTGCCAATGCTACCACCACATCTGCAGACAATGATGAAGTCAAACTCACAAAGGCTGAATACGAGAAGTTCTTAAGTCTTATGAAAGAAAAAGACTTCAACAAGAGGAGCCTCACCTCCAGCCCTTCCTTTTCTGCTGCTACTTGGGTCAACCAATCTCCTCCTACACCAGGTAAATACAGTTTCACTGTCCCTCCTGGTAGAACATCTCAACATGCTTGGATCTTAGACACAGGTGCCTCAGATCACATTGTGTGCTCTCTGACTTACCTGGTTCACCCCAAACCCATATCAAACATCCCTATTACCCTACCAACAGGTGATCAAGTTCATGCTACTCACATTGGCACAGTCACCTGTGTTGCCAACCTTGTTCTTGACAATGTCTTATTTGTTCCCCAGTTTAACTTCAACCTCATATCAGTAAGCAAACTCACCACCAACCCTTCACTTCACTTAACCTTCTTTTCTACTGTCTGTCTCATGCAGGATTTGCAGTTGAGGAGGATGATTGGTTCTGCTAAGCTCACTAATGGCCTTTACCTTTTTGATAGAACCACCATAGATCAACCTCCCACTCCTTTTGCTGCCACTTCTGCACAGTCTTTTGACCTATGGCACTATAGATTAGGTCATGTTTCACATTCCAAAGTCCCTCATTTGAAGAAAATCTGTACATCCATAGAAACAGATGCTTCTTTACCTTGTGATACTTGTCATTTTGCTAGGCAGAAAAGGCTTCCTTTCCCTTGTAGCAACACTGTTTGCACAAGACCCTTTGAACTCATACATGTTGATCTATGGGGTCCAAACTCTGTCCCCAGTCATGATGGTTTCAGATACTTTTTAACAATTGTTGATGATTTCACTGGCATGACTTGGATTATTCTCTTGCCAACCAAATCTGAAACCAGACTGAAACTTCAACACTTTTGCAACCATATTCACAAACAATTTCAACTCTCAATCCAAAAAATCAGGAGTGACCAGGGCCAGGAATTTCAAATGCATGAATTCTTTAACACAACTGGTATACTCCATGAGCAATCCTGTGTAGAAACACCACAGCAAAATAGTAAGGTGGAAAGAAAACACCAACACATACTCAATGTTGCTAGAGCTCTCAAATTCCAGGCCAACCTTCCTTCTGGTTTTTGGTCTGACTGTGTCAAACATGCAGTTCATCTCATCAACAGAGTTCCCACCCTAGTTCTAGACAACCAAACTCCCTACCAAAAACTATTTCATAAGCCCCCTGATCTCACAGAACTGAGGGTGTTTGGCTGTCTTTGCTATGCAAATACACTAAACAGACATAGAACCAAGTTTGATTCTAGAGCTAGGAAATGTGTCTTCCTAGGATTCACTACTGGAATTAAAGGATACAAACTCTATGACTTGACCTCCAATGAGGTTTTCACATCTAGGGATGTCCAGTTCTATGAAGACAATTTCCCCTTTCAAACAACCACATCTTCCTCCTCCCTTCACAGTCCCTATTCCCCTTCTCCAAACCCAGCAATTTTTGATGACTTCAGTGCCAACTACCAACCTGTTACCAACTCCCCCCCTGAACCAGACCAATTTCTTAATGACCTGCATTTTGAAACTGACCCTGATGATGCCTCAGATTCCCAATCTTCCATACAACCTTCTCCTCCCCACCCACCATCATCACCTGCTCCACCACAACCCCCCCAACCTCATCCCAGGAAATCAACCAGAACTGTCAAACCACCAAAACACCTACAATCTTACCATTGTAACCTGCTTCAGCAGACTTCTTCCACCAATCATCCTCCAACACAGCAGCATCCAGGTATCACCTATCCTCTTTCCTCTGTGATTGATTACTCTAATCTTTCTCCTTCACACAAACATTTTGCTTTGAGCATTTCTACTCTCAAGGAACCAGAAACATATCAAGAGGCATTCCAATCAGATGAATGGAATGATGCCATGAAGTCTGAAACTCAGGCATTAGAGGCAAACCACACATGGGACATTGTTGAAAGACCACCAAACACAAGGATCATTGGCAACAAATGGGTCTACAAATTCAAATTCAACTCTGATGGATCACTTGAAAGAAGAAAAGCCAGACTTGTTGCCAAAGGCTACACCCAACAAGAAGGTGTCGATTACCAGGACACCTTTGCTCCTGTTGTCAAGATGACCACAATCAGACTATTTCTGGCTCTTGCTGCTTCCCAATCCTGGTTTATACACCACCTTGATGTCAACAATGCTTTTTTACATGGTGATTTAGACCAGGATGTTTACATGAAGCTTCCCCCAGGCTATTCTCCACCACCTGGATTCAAGCACCCAGTCTGCAAACTCAAAAAATCCCTCTATGGATTAAAGCAAGCATCTCGACAATGGTTCTCTAAGCTAGCAGAAAAGCTTCACAGTCAAGGTTATCAATCCAGCAAAGTTGATCACTCCCTCTTCTTCAAGGCAAATGGCAGTTCTTACACAAGCATTCTTGTCTACGTTGATGACTTAGTTGTTGGTGGCAATGACCTCCAAGAGATTGCCAATATCAAATCCTTTCTCCACCAGGCGTTCAGCATCAAGGACCTTGGACAGTTGAAATTCTTTCTAGGAATTGAGGTAGCTCGAAGCAGCTCTGGCATCCACATTTCCCAGAGGAAGTACACTCTTGAAATTCTAGAAGATGCTGACCTCCTCCTTTCCAAACCTGCATCAACCCCAATTGACTACAAGGAGCACCTCTCTGCGTCCCACAATGACCCATATCCAGACCCAGAATCATACAGACGACTTGTTGGGAAGTTGATTTACCTCACTACCACTCGCCCTGACATCAGTTATGCCACCCAACAGGTCAGCCAGTACATGACTAATCCCAGCAATGCACACTACAAGGCAGTTCTTCGCATACTACGTTATCTCAAGACTGCTCCTTCGAGTGGCATCTTCTTTTCATCCAAATCCAACCTTCATCTCAAGGCCTTCAACGATTCAGATTGGGCTGCTTGCGTTGACACCCGTCGCTCAGTGACTGGCTACTGCATCTACTTGGGGGACTCCCTGATTTCCTGGAAGAGCAAAAAGCAGACCACCATTTCTCGGTCTTCCTGTGAGGCAGAGTACAGGGCGCTTGCCTTCACAACCTGTGAGATCCAATGGATTCTCTATCTTCTTCGAGACTTCAACATCTCCCATCCCCACCCTGCAACTCTATTTTGTGACAATCAATCGGCGATATACATAGCAGAAAACCCCACTTTTCACGAACGAACTAAGCATATCGAACTCGATTGCCACTTCGTTCGTGAAAAGCTCCTTGCAGGGACGATCAAAATCCTCCATGTCTCCTCCACCCATCAGCTGGCCGACATCCTCACCAAACCACTTCCGCCGGCCACCTTTACTGCTCTCTTCTCCAAGCTCGGAGTCCATAATCTCTGCCCTCCGGCTTGCGGGGGGGTATCAGGGAAGAACAGTGGTTCTTCGCGGCAACCAGTTCAAACAGAGGAAGCAGAGTCGACCGTTGCTCCCAACGGTGTCGTTCCAATCATCAACCAAAGAACTCCCGCTGCCCTCAACGCTGTCGTTCCAGAGAGCCAAGTTAGAAGCTTCAGTGATGTCGTTTCTGGCATATTTCCATTTAGTCACTAATCTTCTCATTTCTGTTGCTTCCTATTTTGGTATTGTACTTGCTTAAGACACAAGTCTTGTCTTCTTCCCCAAACTGTCTGTAAGCCAAAACTATCAGCTATATAAGCTGGAAACCAATGAATCAAATGCCAAGCTCTTTTTCTTCAACCCTAAAAGGTTGTCAGGCGGCACAGGTGTTCGTCCCGCTCCTGATCGTAGATATCGAACCAGCGCGGCCCTCCGACTCCCCAATCCATGCTGCAATAGACCCAAGCGGGTCTCCACTTTCGTGGAAACTTGAAGCGGTAGCTATCGTGCGGGTTTACCACATGAACCCCGAGATCGTCTCCGTTGTTATCGTCGTCGAATCTGCTGCAGTGCACTGTCAGCTGTCGCCCTCCGCCCACCTCGTTGGTGATCGCCACCTTCGTTCTAGTGCCCGGTACCCACCACGTCTCAGCCGTCGCCATTAGTACTGTCGACAGGAGAATGAGGGACACCACCGCTGAAATTATTTTGTTCCGCTGCCTCATCGTTGTTAGATCACCGCTTCTCCTCTCCAAGTTAGATCATGTTTTGTTGTTGGTGTTGTTGGATTTACTGCTGATGGCTGGCTGGATGTTTTGTTATGATGCTGTATATATATTATATAGTCAGGAGGATGTTCATCTGATGAGTCATTTTCTGTCGTAACATCAGATGCAAAAATATAGCGAGTCAAAAAGATTTGATTTGCAAGCAGACCAAAATTGCACAGGGTATAGTGATGATGATTGGTTAATGATGCGAGCATTGTGGAGAACCAAGTTTACTATTTCTTTTTTAAGTTTTGGAAATATCCAGGGTGATAACACTTATATATTATTGACTTAGTCTCTAACCACTCTGTATTCAGTTCCTTATTTCCAGCTATGTTTGTATCCATGTCTTGCTGTATATATTCTCCATATCAATAATACATTCAATGGGTTTTGGCATTGTATTTACATGGTATCAGAGCCCCAAATTTCCTCTAACGAGGTGCTATGTTTTCTTCTGCAATTTCTTCTTCTTCTTAATCCAAACCCAGAACCATCATCCCTCTCCTCTGGTCATTTTTCTAATCCCACCTTGCTTCCAGCCTTTGGCTCTATCTCAATACCTCTATTGAAATGGAATAGAGTGCCAACTTATTATGTTTTAGCACCATCTACTAATAATAGTTAATAATAAAAATATTATTGTACTATTGTATATGGTAGTTTCTTCTTCCAGCCCGTTGCTCTCTGCAAAAAGAAAATAACACCATTAATACTTAGCGACCAACCTCAAAAGCTGTTTTACTAAATATAGTGACGACAAATAAAATTAAATATTTTTAATGATAAAATAGGGTTAGTTGCAAGGTTGATCACCGAGATTACTAAAAACATTCATATATGGTTACTAAAAATATTTATCACTAAAATTAATTAAAACGTTCAAGTTTAGTCACTCTGCGTTAACTTTCGTTAGTCTCCGTTAACGGCGTCACTTTTTTGATGACGTGACTAACAGAATAGGCTAATCAGCGTAAATCAACCCTCCATGTCATCAGTACTTGCCACGTCATTAAAACAACAACACAATACAATTAAATGAAAAGAGAAAAAACAAAATAGTGTTTCTGGATCTCTTCCTTCCGTCGTCGTCCTCAATCGTCATCTTCATCCCATCGTTTCATCTTTCCTTCGGCGCAGGAGATCAAAGGGGAGGCTTGGATCCAGTTAAACCAATCTTCAAGAGCGCATAGAGGATGCAAACCCTGCCATCCTAGAGAACAACGACACAATTGCTTCCAGGAACTGATAAAAACGTACATCGTCAATCAGCAAACACTCACTGAGATTACCTTGCCACATTATCATTCTTCCGGTAACTAAACTTGAACGTTTTAATTAATTTTAGTGATTACGAACAAAATTAAATATTTTTAATGACCAAACATAAACGTTTTTAGTAATCTCAGTGACCAACCTTGCAATTAACCCTGATAAAATATAAACGTTTTTTAATTCAATCCCAGTGACTAACATTCCAATTGACCCAAAATTGTGACTGAAATCGGCAGATGCCATTCCTTTCCTTGTACATTTCTCCGCTTCAATTGGCGCCGAATTCTTCCACCACGAGAAGTGGATAGTGGTTATTTCTAACTATTTTCTTGACATTGTCGGGAAAAAAAATCACCACCGAGGAGTGGCACAAACAATGAACAGGCTAATCTCCTGTTATTTTGTTACAGACCAATCCTTCTTTAAATCGGCATCCTGAAATGCTATTCCAATTTCACTCTCTCAATCACAATTCACATACACCCACTGTTACACATACACACGAGCAGCCGCACTGGAGATGAGGGGGCAAAAACAACTAAGGAGCGAATGGGTAACACAACCAGCTAGCTGATAAAATCACCGGCGATGAATGCAAGTACCGTGGCGTCGGGCCATTTTGGTACCATCAACGAATGACGAAACTGCCGGGATACTGTGTTTGTTGTGGAAAAAAATTCATGTTTGTCATCTGCCAGTTCACTCGGAATCAGATTGAAATAGAGCTTCTATTTCACCGTTGGGCTTCCGATCGGTGGAATGGTCACGGCTTCGACGGCAGTGGACGAGAGAAGAGGCAGGACGGATAGAGAGAGGGGGGAATTGAATTGGAAACTAGTAATTGACTAATGTAATTATTACAAGAATTGAATTGGATAAAAGGGGGCTGTCCGTCCGGCAGAATTATCAGCGCCAAGCAGAGCACCAGTCCGGCTCGGCACCTGTCGTCGTTTACCTCTCGCCCTCTCTTTGTTGAATTGGAATTGGGAACGGACGGAAGGAAAGAAGGAAACTCCGAGATAAAGAAGAGGCTGAGTGATTAGTGATTTCCTTTCCTACCCAACTCTTCTCTCTTTCTTGTTTCTTCCATTTTTTTCCTTTTTTCTTTTTAGCGACGGACGGAAAGAAAAGCAGCAGTCATTGGTTTGGTTCGAAGGGTGTCAACCGGCGGGCTGACGTTATTGCAGTTATATGGACAATATCTTTGTCCCTTTCAATAAATCGTTGATTCAACTAATGAATCTATTTGACGTACAACTGGTACGATAACGTTCTTGCATTTTCAATCACTAACCAAATAAACGTTTTACTTCTGGTGAATGTTATTATGGTTGGTATTCTATAACCATTTTACCAATCCACATTCAGACCTCGTATTTCTTTACATTCACTTCTGGTAGTGAAATTCAAGATAATTTCTAGCTCTGATATATCATGTTATTCACATGCCATTTAACGGTAACCTTTTTTCATAAATTAATTATATTTTTCAGGAATATATAATTATCCAAAAGCTTAAATGGATAAACAGACATATAAAATGTATGAACAGGTATAGCAATACAATGTTAATATTTATTTATCATTAATATGTTATATTTTAATACCACTACAACACCCGAACTATCGACAAAATGCCACTTGTGTCCTATTTTATTCAATATTCCATTCATGTCCTTAACTATGATACTTTGTGCCATCTGTATCCTATCAATTTCGTTGACCGTTAAAGATAACGGTTGACCAAACGGTGGTCAACGCCAAGTTGACTTTTGTTGACGTGGCAAAAAATGCGACTGCCACATAGATGCCACGTCACTGACCTCAGATTTTTTTAATTCAAATTAAATAAAAATTGAGTTAAAATAAAAAAAAACATTGCATCTGTTCCCCAAAATTTTCCCGGATCGAGAAATCCCTTCCACCTAACAAATCTTCGTTTGTGGTTACAGATCTGTTCCCCAAAGTTTCTTTTCTCTCATCCCTCTCCTTATTCTATTATCCACACTTGCCTCACCATCTCCACCCAGCAATCAGACAGATTCATCTTCCATGGCTTCAGCAATCGAACCAGCAACCACCAGCAGCTGCTCAGGCTCGACGGAGCTGGAGAGATTCTACCCAACGGACTTCTCCGGCTCACCAACGCCTCCGCCCTTCAGATTGGCGACACTTTCTTCCCTCGCCCTCTCAAATTCATCCGCGGAAAATCATCTCTATCCTTCTCCACCAACTTCGCCTTCGCCATGGTCCCGCAATCCCCAAATCTCGGCGGCCACGGCCTGGCTTTTTACGCTCACCGGCTGTGGATTTCTCACACGTCGTCGCCAACCAGCACTCGAATAACCAGTTGGCTCCCCTAATTCTCCTCCCTGGAATCGGATCTCTCCGATCTGTAATTTTGATGGAGTTGAGGGTGAGAGAAGAGGAAGAAGTTGGGAGCCTGCGAGGAGATTTGGTTCAGATTTAGGTTTTGGAGCGGGAGAGCGGCGAGAGAGATGAGTGTTCGGCCAAGAATACCTACATCGAGAATCCGCTCCCTCGTGTCTCCTCAATCTATGAACGACGAATTGACCCGGTTGAAGCTTTTCTAGTGCATCTCCTCCTCTTCTCCGGCGTGGAATCAGTGTTTGAAGCCATTTGTCGATGCTCCGGTACTCTCACTCAATTTAGTTTCTAGAGGAATTTGATTTTCTTTCTCTTGGTTTGCTTCTGTTGCTTGTAGGAACTTCGTTTTTGTTCGTATTTGGTGGATTCAGAATCGCTAGGGCAGATTATTTGGTTGTTTGACTACTTCGTTTTGGTTCGATGTTTTGGCGGATTCAGATTCACTGTGTTTGTTCGAATGGTTTTGGGCATTCTTAAAAGGCATGTCAAGAACTGTTATATCACTAATCCATCTCCAGTAGACTAGTACTACTCATTTGAAGTCCTCTGATTTAGTTCTCATGTATCAATGTAGCCAAATTGCCATTGTAGATGAACTGATACTCTGCTCTGTGAATCACTGTGTTCACGTGAGTTACCATAAATGAAGAGAAAGGGTCTTGGATTGGAAGAGCTGTTCGTTGAAACAGGAGAATCGTCGTAGGCATGAGAAGCGTGGCCACCGATGAAGGATACATCGGAGATCAATTGGGAAAAGACGTTCGGCGACGAACGACGAACGGCGGATCAAAGGGAAAAGACGTTCGGAGAAGTTGCAGAGAGGAAAAAGAGAATTGCTTTAAGTTTTTGTTTTTATTTTTGAAAATTTTTTCTTCTTATTTTAGTAATTTTGGATAGAAAAATAAATAAAATTTTGATTTGAAATTCCACGTCAGATGCCACATCAACGCTGACTAGGATTTCTGTTAAATACTAACGGTCAATGATGGTCAACACTAACGGAAAAATAGTTCAGGACACAGATGGAATATTGGAAACAGTAGGACACAAGTGGCATTTTTCGGATAGTTCGGGTGTTGTAGTGGTATTAGCCTATCCCTTTTGCAGATTCACACTAAAAACAATATATAAAAGGGTTTTAGAGTGTACACGGTACACACACTACTCATGATTATGTAAAGTTACCAGTAAATGCATTCAGTATATGCCATACTCCATTTACTACCACCATTTAATTATAAAACTATTATATATGTAATGTGGAGATTCATGCATGCGCCAGATCATGAAAT